GTCTGATCCATCAGAGCTCTTCTTATGTTCTAATGAAGGCCTCGGCCTCTATGCCCTGTTGTTGGACCTCCAGAAGAACTGGTTGGCCACTGTGTGAGACAGGATGCTGGACTAGATGGACTATTGGTCTGATTCTGCAGGGCTCTTTTGATGTTCTTATGAAGGCCTCGCCCTCTATGCCCTGTTTGTTGGCCCTCCAGAAGAACTGGTTAGCCACTGTGTGAGACAGGATGCTGGACTGGATGGACTATTGGTCGGATCCATCAGAGCTCTTCTTATGTTCTAATGAAGGCCTCAGCCTCCATGCCCTGTTGCTGGACCTCCAGAAGAACTGGTTGGCCACTGTGTGAGACAGGATGCTGGACTAGATGGACTATTGGTCGGATCCATCAGAGCTCTTCTTATGTTCTAATGAAGGCCTCAGCCTCTGCCCTGTTGTTGGACCTCCAGAAGAACTGGTTGGTCATTGTGTGAGACAGGATGCTGGACTAGATGGACTACTGAATCAGACCTCTTCTTATGTTCTCCCTGGGTGAACTTCAGCATTCAAAGCCATCCCCGAGAAGTCTTTTTTGGAGCGCGCTTTGAGGATGAATTATTTCAAACAGCCATATCTGTCACCAAACTAAAGCTAAAATAATGGGAGCTGGAGGAGTGCTCTAACAAAGAAACACATAAAAAAACCTTCCATTAGGTAATTGCAATAAATGAGTGATCACTTATAAAAGCAGCGTTCTCTCGGAGGCGCAGGAAGTGGGAGGACGGCAACAGCTTGGTAGGGATGACTAATCCTCTTATTTAGGCACCTGAGACTCAGTTCCTCAGAACTGAAGCGAAAACTCAACAAAGGGACTGTAACTCTGGTTCAACGGCTCAGTCACTGGAGGTGTCAATGGGATACCAATTCCATTCAAAACTTGGCCAAGTGATGAACAGAAAAGTTCAATCCCCAGCATCTCCCACCAAAAGGGGAAGGGGCTGTGGCTTAAGTGGCAGAGCATCTCTTTGGCCCGCAGAAGGTCCCCGGTTCAATCATCCCTGGAGAACTGTCTGTTTACCATCTGGCATGCATCCGGAGACCATCTTGTTTTTAAATTTAGTACAACTGTTATTAATGTTTTTATTGTTTTTATCTGTTTTATATGGGCTTTGCCCCTCGTAAGCCGCCCTGAGCCCACTCTGCAGGGAGGGCGGGGTAAAAATCTCAATAATAAATAAATAAATAAATAAAAGGACCAGGCAGTAGGTGATGTGAAAGACCTCTGCCTGAGAGCCTGGAGAGCCATAACAACATAAGAGAAGCCAGTGTTGAATGGGGCCAATGGCCCATCCAGTCCAACACTCTGTATCACACAGTGGCCAAAAATACCGGGTGCCATCAGGAGGTCCAGCAGTGGGGCCAGGACACTAGAAGCCCTCCCACTGTTGCCCCCCCCAAGCACCAAGAAGACAGAGCATCCCTTGCCCAAGACCGAGAGTTCCTATCTATACCTTGTGTCTAATAGCCACTGATGGACCTCTGCTCCATATGTTTATCTAATTCCCTCTTGAAGCCGTCCGTGCTTGTAGCTGCCACCACCTCCTGTGGCAGTGAATTCCATGTGTTAATCACTCTTTGGGTGAAGAAGGACTTCCTTTTATCCGTTCTAACCTGACTGCTCAGCAATTTCACTGAGTGCCCACGAGTAGACAATACTGACTGTGACAGATCAAGGGTCTGATTCAATAAGGCAGCTTCATACACGTTTCAAACACCAAATCCTGCTGTGGCTCAGAGGAAGAGCATCTGTTTTGCCTGCAAATGGTCCCAGGTTCAATCCCCAGTTCAATCCCGGCTTCGGTCCCCGGAATCTCGAGTCGGTGATGAGAAAGGCCCCTAGCTGAGACCCTGAAGAACAGCTCAGCTGCCAGTCAAAGGATTTAATACGGACCTTGTTTGGCCAATGCTCTGACTCAGTATAAGGCAGGGCTATGTGTTGTTGCTAAGGGGAAGAGCTGTGGTTCTGTGGGGAGCCTCAGCTCCGCATGCAATAGTTCCCAGGTTCAATCCCTGGCATCACCATTTAAGAGATCTCAGCTATAAAGAGTTGGGGGGGGGGACTTTCTCAACCTGAGAGCATCTGCCAATAAGGAGCAGACAATACCAAGCCATGGGTTCACTCATACGGTCAACACTGGACCCTTTTTTGGGTTGGTTTTTTTTTTTGCTATTATTTTATGTGCATATATGCGTGTGAGTGTCTGCGGACCTGGAAGTCACGTCGACTTCTGGTGACTGACCCCCTACTGGGGCACCTGGAAGTCACGTCAACTTCTGGTGACTGACCCCGTACTGGGGACTTGGGAGGATATTCAGAGAGGTGACTGAATAAAGCCTGTCTCTGCATCCTGCCTCTGGTATTCCAAGGAGGTCTCCCTTCCAAGTACTTGCCAGAATTGACCCTTCTTAGCTTCCAAGATCTGACGAGATCCGGCTTGCTTTGGCTATCCAGGTCAAGGCAACACTGGACCCTTGTACGGTACTAGCAAAAGTAAGCGATCTATAAAACAGATGTATGGCGTTTCCCATTCTGGAATCCCCCGACTGAACACACAAACACACGAAGCTGCCCTATACTGAATCAGACCTTTGGTCCGTCAAGGTCAGTATTGTCTACTCAGACTGGCAGCGGCTCTCCAAGGTCTCAGGCAGAAGTCTTTCACATCACCTAGTGATGATCCTTTTCACCGGAGATGCTGAGGATTGAACTTGAGACCATCTGCATGCTAAGCAGACACTCTACCGCTGAACCATGGCCCCTCTCCATCCTTAACTTCCCAAGACGACCCTGCCTGCAAGTCCACATCTCTCCAGAGGCTCCCCCCCACCCCTCCCAGGCAGTTTTAAGTGCTCTCGGGCAAGCAGTGGGCTTCTTTGCTTCCTGGTGTCAAACACTCTGTTTGACATCTGTGTACGCTGGCTCTTCCGGAAGGCTGACGGAGCCAGCTCCCACGGGGGGTTCACCAGCCATGCTCACCTCTCTGGAATATGGTTTTTTTAAAAAAAAAAATTAAGGGATACAGAAAAAAAGAAGGGATAGGGAAAAACAGATAGAAAATATAATTACCAAAAAACCTAGTCTGAGGGCAATTTTACAGAAATTAAGGACCTTCCCTTTTCAATATTTATAAGCATATGTAACAGAGTATATGATAGATTAGCTTCACAAATGCTTAACAAGATATATACGGTGTAATGGCATAAGGATATAGCTTAAAATATATATGACCTATTAACTTAAAAAAAATCTATATAATGACCTACTCATTCTACCAACTTCTCATACTATATTTTCATTTTTATCTTATCGATCTTATCTATTATATAGTATAACATAGGTAACTTCATAGAATTTTTATAAGATTGCACACAACGGTTTGTTATAATAAACAACAGGTACTACTCTTTTCATTTCCTATTAAAACTGTCTTATAGTATTATCGTTTACTATGAAACCTTTCAGATACATTAGTTATAATAGTCATAGAAAACTCACCAACCTCTCTGGAATCTGGAAAACCTAAACCCCACGTCTGTACATTCCCACGCACCATGCAAACTGATACCTCCTCTTTACTCAGTTACCTGGTATGTGGTTGATCCCGCAATCTATCACGACCGCGCCAGGCTTAATCCACTCCCCTTTCACCATCTCGGCTTTGCCAGCTGCAACTACCAAGATATCCGCTTTGCTGACCTGCAAAACACATGGTCCGCCGTCAGAACAGGGATCCATGAAAAGGAAGGCTCTATGGAACCTGCCCTTTTTAAAAAACCAGTTTCGCGATACAGGAAAAAGATTTAAGGGAAAGACCAAAGGAAAGTCAACCAATCTGAGCATCTTCACTTATGAACAGTGAAATATGTGGATAAAACATTTAGACCTGAAGTCCCCAACCTGCCAACACCATGTCGCCTGCCGACACCTTTCCCCGCACCCGTCAAGCCTTTTTAGAAAGTGGGTGGGGCTTCAGATTGACCAATCGAGAATTGATTGGGCGTGCAGATTTTTAAAAAAAACACTGCTTTAATGGTAGCTGCCGCTCAGCACAAGGATTGTCACTGTGTGACGGAAGGTAAGCTGCTGCGGCAGTTTGGTGGCTGACTCCGCCTCCTGCAGCAGCCATTTTGTGGCTGTGCCAATCATGCTAGATCAGAACTCCAAAGATGCCTGCAGTCTCAAAAAGGCTGGGGACTCCTGATTTAGATAACTTTTTTTTAAATTGACGCTTATATACATAATCTTACATTAAATCATTGTACAATCATTTTACCCCACTCCCCCCCTCCTTTATAGTATCTTCATATTTTTAACCATGTGCACAGATTCTTCATTCGTATTTGGATATTTGGATTGGCTTCCCCCCTTTCCACCCATTCCTTATATCCCACCCATTTATTTGTAATCTTTTGACATTTCTCCTCCCATGTCTCTTCAGTAATTATCTGTGCAAATATATCTGAGTGTATGCGTTCAAAGACATAATTATTCCATTTTCCCATTGTCCATTTGTGCCTATCCCTCCATCCCAATGCTATTACAGCCATCCCAGCTAAAACCATAATTTTATATAACTCCCGTTTATTTCTTTCCACTTTTTTATTTCCCAAAATTCCAGAAATAGGCAAGTCCCTATTAATCTCTATATTAACTTGAAATAAATCAAAGATAACCTTTACAGTCTTTTGCCAAAATTCCTTAACCACTTTGCATTCCCACCACATATGGGCGTATAGACCTACTTCTTAGCCACAGTGCCAACACTTTGGATTCATTCCTTTAATCATATACGCTATCTGAGCCGGAGTTCTAGATTTAGATAACTGATAAATTTAGCCATGAGCAAAGATCTAGTGAGGGGCTCAGAAACAAAAGATCACTCGAGAAACAACAAATGGTAACACCATAGACTTTCTTTAAGCCACTCTTCCAGGCTAATAGGTCTGTAAAAATACACACACACACACATATTCTCTCTCACAAACCCTCTCCACATAAAGAAGACTAATATTCTCAGGGAAAACGCTAGGCTAGAAACTTTTCTTCCTGACATCCTATATAAAGGCAGGGAGCTTTTGTTGCAAGGAAGGGTTTGCCTCCCCCCAAAAAAATCCTTCCATGCAGAGACGCTAGAGGTTGAATTCAGGACATTACCTATGCAAGCAACATGTGTTTCCATAGTTCCCACTATGACCACACTGAGTTCACTTCTCACAGCTGTGCCAGCTGCGGGTTTCTCTTTATTACCCTGCCAGCAAACTCTATTGGGAATCTAAGCTTGCTGAATGGGCTTTTTTTCTGGGAAACAAATCAATGCAGCTGGGGGGGGGGAGGGGCCACGGCTCAATAGCAGAACACGTGCTTTGCATGCGAGCGGGGGCCCTCGACAAGTCCCCGCAACTACGGATAGAAAAAGACTCCAGAAGGAAGGCTGGGAAAGACTTCTGAATGAATAAAATGTAGGAGCAAAGATCTAGTGAGGGGCTCAGAAACAAAAGATCACTCGAGAAACAACAAATGGTAACACCATAGACTTTCTTTAAGCCACTCTTCCAGGCTAATAGGTCTGTAAAAACACACACACAGAGACACATATTCTCTCTCACAAACCCTCTCCACATAAAGAAGACTAATATTCTCAGGGAAAACGCTAGGCTAGAAACTTTTCTTCCTGACATCCTATATAAAGGCAGGGAGCTTTTGTTGCAAGGAAGGGTTTGCCTCCCCCCAAAAAAATCCTTCCATGCAGAGACGCTAGAGGTTGAATTCAGGACATTACCTATGCAAGCAACATGTGTTTCCATAGTTCCCACTATGACCACACTGAGTTCACTTCTCACAGCTGTGCCAGCTGCGGGTTTCTCTTTATTACCCTGCCAGCAAACTCTATTGGGAGTCTAGGCTTGCTGAATGGGCTTTTTTCTGGGAAACAAATCAATGCAGCTGGGGGGGGGGGAGATGCCACGGCTCAATAGCAGAACACGTGCTTTGCATGCGAGCGGGGGCCCTCGACAAGTCCCCGCAACTACGGATAGAAAAAGACTCCAGAAGGAAGGCTGGGAAAGACTTCTGAATGAATAAAATGTAGTGCTTAGGAGCACGGGCTCTAATCTGGGAAAACAGGGTTTGGTTCCTCACTCCTCCACATGCAGCTGCTGGTGTGACCTTGGGTCAGTCACAAGTTCTCTCAGAGCAGTCCTCGGAAGAAAACCCCACCTACCTCACAGGGTGTCTGTTGTGGGGATGGGAAGGGAAAGGAGATTGTAAGCGGCTTTGAGACTCCTCTGGGTAGTGAAGGGCGGGATACAAATCCAACCTCTTCCTTTCCTCTTCTCTATGAGACAGGATGCCCTGAGCTGCCTTATCTTGTCAGATACTGGAAGCCAAGCAGGGTCGGCCCTGGTAAGTACTTGGATGGGAGACCATCGAGAAAGTCCAGACCCTGTAACGTGGATGGTCTAGGCTGGCCCAGTCTCATCAGATTTTGGAAGCTAAGCAGGGACGGCCCTGGTTAGTATTTGGATGGGTGACCTCCAAGGAATACCAGGGCTGTGACACAGAGGCAGGCGATGGCAAACCACCTCTGAAATATCTCTTGCCTTAAAAACAAGTCTCGATTGCCACCTAGTGGTGCATAATGCTAAAAGAGCTAGAACTTCTAGCTGCCAGACAGTCTTAGGATCTCCTGTCCTGACTATACTACACACACTGCCATACAATTATTATTATTATTATTATTATTATTATTGTTGTTGTTGTTGTTGTTGTTGTTGTTGTTGAAGTCCAGGGTTGCTATGCAGAGGCAGGCAACAGCAAACCATCTCTGTTAGTCTCTTGCCTTGAAAACCCCCTTGAGGGGTCACCATAAACCAGCTGCAACTTGACGGCACTTTCCACCACCACGGGAGAGGTTAGGTTGAGAGTGACTGGCCCAAGGACGATATGGTGACTTTCACATCTGAGTGAGGATTTGAACCCAGGTCTCTCAGGTCCTAGCCAGTGTTCCCTCTAAGCTGAGTTAGTGTGAGCTAGCTCACAGTTTTTAAGGCTCCGGCTCACACATTTTTGTCTTAGCTCAGGAAGGATGGCTCCAGAACAAACTAATTTATGAAGTAGCCAAATCGCTCACTCGCAGCTTTAATGCCAGTAGCTCACAAAGTAGAATTTTTGCTCACAAGACTCCACAGCTTAGAGGGAGCATTGGTCCTAGCCCAGCGCTCTAACCGTATCACTGCACTGGCCCCTTATACCTGAATGCAGGTGACATAAACCTTTGCCCAGGGACCAATTTGCAATTTCAAAACATCTAAGTGCCCGTTCCGTCAAATAATTCAAGATGCTCAAAACCTCTGGCCAAAGGGCCATGTCTGCATAACAACACAGCTGCCCTGCACACCCAGAGGAGCCTTCCAGCCTTACTTCCTCAGCCAGTGATGCCGTCTTGGAGTGACACGTGGTCACGGTGGCATGGTTCCAGAGCAGCAGGTCATGCATCGGCGCGCCGACTATCTTACTCCGCCCAATCACCACGGCTCTCTTGCCCGCCACTTGGATACCTGCAACACAGAACCTCCTTTTCAACATTTTTGGAGCGAAGTTTGAGGCATGAATCTTCTCATTTCCTGCACTCCACTATCAACCCCTGTGCCCCTGGGAAATGTCAAAAACAAAGTCACACCCCTGGTCTATCAAGCTCTGCGTTGTTTGTTCCAGTGGTCATCAACCTTCCCAGACCGGGGACCCAATAAGCATGGCACCTCCTGAGATCCAAGCAAGTTCAGAGAATCATAGAATCATAGAGTTGGAAGGGGCCTCCAGGGTCATCTAGTCCAGCCCCCTGCACAATGCAGGAAATCCACAAACACCTCCCCCTCCACACCCGCAGGGACCCCCTGCTCCCCACCCAGAAGTTGACAAAAAACCCTCCAGGATCTTCAGTCAAACTGGCCTGGAGAAAAACTGCTTCCTGACCCCAACGTGGCGATCGCCATTTCCCTGGGCGTGTAAGAAAGGGCCACGGGAAGGAAGCACTGAGGCAACCTTTCCTGCCCTCCCTCTCATGATCTGCCTAGGTTCACCAGGATCTGCCTAAGCATTGTTGTGGTTGTTATTATTATTAATTTAATTGATAACCCGCCCTATCCCACGAGTGGGCACAGGGCGGCTTACAACCCAAGATTCATAAAACAAGAAAAAGCGATAAAACCAGTGAAACAACAGCTGGCGCAACAAACGGTGACGAAAAAGAACCCTTGCCTCATGTCAGGTGCATAAAAGCTCCAGTGCCCAAGTAATATCTAAGCAGAAGGGCACTGGGGAGGGGGCATGAACAGGGAAAGCCAGAATGGCTGAACGTCCGCCACCTCAACCGAATGCCTGGTGGAACCGCTCCGCTTTACAGGCCCTGGGGAACTGTAAAAGGCCCCGCAGGGCTCTGATCCCGGGTGGGAGCCCGTTCCACCAGGTTGGGGCCAGGGCTGAAAAAGTCCTCGCCCTGGTTGAGGCCACGCAGGCATCCCTTGGGCCGAGGATCACCAGGAGGTGCTGATCGGAAACGTAAAGCTCTCCGGGGCTCATATGGGGAGAGGCGGTGATAGGAAGTCACGAGAACTCAGAGTCATGTGACAGGAAGAGGCAGAGTTAGGCCATCACTCGCCAAGGCTAAGGCTTTGGGCAGCAGACCAAAGGAAGCCAGCGAGAGGAAATGCAAACGGACCACCGGGAGGTGTCCAAGGAACAAGCTTACCCGTTTGCCTGATGAGTTCCATACACCCTTTGGGTGTGCAGGGGATGAAACAGTCTCCGAGGTCACCTCGCGAAAGCTTCCCTGCGTTGATGCTGCTCAAGCTGGGAAGGCAAAAGGAACGGCAAAGCTGACGGCATTCAAACATGCTGAAGACACACCCAACCCAACTCCATTTAGATATGTATATTCCACAGCCAGTTTGGTGTAGTGGTTAAGTGCGCAGACTCTAATACGGGAGAACCAGGTTTGATTCCCCACTCCTCCACTTGCAGCTGCTGGATGACCTTGGGCAAGCCAGAGTTCTGTCAGAGCTGTTCTTGAAAGAGCAGTTCTCGAAAGAGCTCTCTCAGCCCCACCTACCTCACAGGGTGTCTGTTGTGGGGAGGGACACCCACAAGAGACACCCGGTGAGGTAGGTGGGGCTGAGAGAGCTCTTTTGAGGACTGCTTGTGAGAGAACAGCTCTGAGAGAACTTGTGACTGACCCAAGGTCACCCAGCAGCAGCACTTGGAGGAGTGGGGAATCAAACCCGGTCCTCTCAGATTAGAGTCCGTGCTCCTAACCACTACACCAAACGAAGATGAGCACCGCAACCCTAGAGTCGGATTCAAATGGCTTTCAAGCAAGGGAACCTTTACCTTTACCTTTACAATGCAGTAAAAGCAGGCGATACCCATAATAATCACTGCAATGCACTCTTACAAAGGTGCCCTCCTGGTCTGCTTGTTCCATTACAGTTCTAATCTCTTTTTTTTAAATGCCTTCTCAAAGATCACTGTTGTGCACAATCTGAGGAACGAAAGAAGCGAGCCACCACTGAGAATGCACATGAATGAGCAGCTGCCAATCATACACCTTTCCAGGCTGGCGTCTTTGGAAGGCTTCTTTCAGATAAGCAAAGCTGTCACAGCGGGGCATAATGGGGGAGGCAGTTCTACAGGGCTTTGAAGACGATAACCAGAACCTTGACTTGAGCTCAGTAATTACATATAAAAAGAAGACGCTTACCCATCCACGTCCTTCTCGGGTGCCACAGCGTTGGTTATTTTCTCAGTGTTGATGGGCTTGTTCGAATCCAGAGGCAGCTGCACGATAAATCCATGAATGGCCGGATCTTCGTTCAGTGCATGAATGCACCTCAGCACCTGAGCATTTGAAAGCAAGCCATTGAGAGGGAAATAAGCTTCAGAATGTTTGTGGATGGAAAGGTATAGATTTAACCCCCTCTGGATACATTTCTGCAAGTGTGAGCCTGTTGTGGAGAACAGGGCCTGAAACTCAGCAGCAGGATTTGAGGCCTTCACACAGAAGGTCTCAGGTTCAAACCAGATGCTGATTCTGGGCATCAGACGCGGGATCCTTTACGTGTAAAGGTCCTGAGTGCACCAGAAGTGACATCACCCCATTGTCAGCGACATAGGGATGCTCTGGTATTTGGGCAAAAACTCTATGGTAAAATCAATTTCTACCAGAGCTTTTGCCCAAATACCAGAGCATCCCTGTGGCACCCGTGAAATGATGACATAACTTCCAGGGCTGGAAGTGACACGCCACTGTGTCATCAGGGACGCAGGCCTAGGGCTCGTTTTCCTGCCAGTAAGGACCTGCTGGTAAGGGGTGCTGGTTGAAAAGGGGTACCTGGCAACCCTGTAATTGTCAGGGCTCTTTTTGAAGAAAAAGCCCAGCAGGAACTCATTAGCATATTGGGCCACACCCCTGACAGCACAGCTCATTAGCCTATTAGGCCGCACCCCCATGTTACCAGAAGTGTGGTCATCCAGCCACACCCACCTTTTGCTTGTTATTCTGTTTACCTTGTTTGTTGTCAAAACCCAGGGCTCTTTTTGTAGCAGGAACTCCTTTGCATGTTAGGCCACACACCCCTAATGTAGCCAATCCTAATGAGCTCCTGCTGTTGGGTGTGGCCTATTATGCTAATGAGTTCCCGCTGGGCGTGGCCAACTCGGGAGCCAGCTGGAACTCCGTTCCTGTGCGTTCCTGCCCAAAAATAGCCCTGGATTTTGTTATTAGAAAGAGAGGGTGACAGACGTTCTCTCTTGCACCATCTTTTCTTCCTTTCCAACACTGACATCACCTCAGGAAGGTCAGTTCTGATCAGGGAAGCAACAGCCAGGGGGAAGCGTTAAAACCCAAACTGGAGAGCCAGTTTGGTGTAATGGTTAAGTGCGCGGACTCTAATACGGGAGAACCAGGTCTGATTCCCCACTCCTCCACTTGCACCTGGCTGGATGACCTTGGGAAAGCCGTAGCTCTGGCACAGCTGTTCTTGAAAAAAGAGCAGTTTGTGTCACTCAGCCACACCCACCTCACAGGGTGTCTGTTGTGGGGAGGGGAAGGGAAAGGAGTTTGTAAGCCGCTCTGAGACTCCTCTGGGTAGTGAAGGGCGGGGTATAAATCCAATCTCTTCCTCTTCCTCTTCCTCTTCCTCTTCTTCTTCTTCTTCTTCTTCTTCTTCTTCTTCTTCTTCTTCTTCTTCTCTACCCACATCAGGGCCCTGAGCCAAAGTGGAGCCCTGTGCAGCCACTATTGTTCTGAAAACGTAAAACAACGCACTGAGGAGACCCAATCGTGGGTCTGCAGTCCCTCACCTAGTAAAGAATCTCAACAGAGAAACATTTTGGCAGAACTGGCTGTGGTTTGCTTTTTTTTTTTAATTGTGTGTTTTCATCCTGTGTTGTTTTCATTTTGTTAATGAGCTCTTATGTTGGCTTTATGTGTTTGCCTCCTGGTGCTGGAGCCTAAGGTTACTTGAAATAAAAACACACACCTACATGCCTAAATGAAATTAAATATGAATCAAATAAATAAATAATAAGGCTTCTGATGCTGACATTCCACTGGTGGATTTCGAAATACATTTCAAAACCCTCTTAATGAGAAGAGAAGAGATTGGATTTATACTCCACCCCTCACTTCCAGAAGGAGTCTCAGAGCGGCTTACAATCTCCTTTCCCTTCCCCTCCCCACAACAGACACCCTGTGAGGGAGGTGGGACTGAGAGAGCTCTTTCGAGAACTGTGTGTGAGAGAACAGCTCTGAGAGAACTTGAGACTGACCCAAGGTCACACCAGCAGCTGCATGTGGAGGAGTGGGGGGAATCAAACTCAGTTCTCCCAGATTAGAGTCCCATCAAACTCTGAGAGGACTCTGATTATTCCATTCTCTTTCCCCAGCCTTTACCCCAAAACATACCTCTGTAGAATACATTGAATTGGATCCCACGGATCCGTTCCTCTATTGTAGCCCCCTTCCACTAGCCCAATAAGCCTTTCCCTCAAGCAAAGGGCTGTTTGAATCTCTCACACTGAGGGAAGGCTCTTCACACCAGGAAAAAAGGGGAACCACACACTGAACAGATCCTCAGGAACTAACCCGTTCCCCTTTCACGTGAGAACGCCTTGTAAATTTAATTGTCATTCCCTACTATTTCTGCACGCTCCTCTCGAAGCAGACTCGAAGCAGACTCGTTCACAACGGAAGGGGAAAAATGCCAGTCCACCAATGAAGCTCCAAGTTGGCACTAAAGTGCATTTTACACACAAACACATGACGCTGACCTACCACTGGTCCATCAGGGTCAGTATTGCCTACTCAGACTGGTAGCTGCTCTCCAAGGGTCTCAGACAGAGGTCCTTCACGTCACCTACTACCAATGTTCCCTCGAAGCTGTGGAGTCTTGTGAGCAAAAATTCTACTTTGCGAGCTCCTGGCATTAAAGTTGTGAGTGAGCGATTTGGCAGCTGCATAAATTAGTTTGCTCTGGAGCCGTCCTTCCTGAGCGAAGACAAAAATGTGTGAGCCGGAAGCTAAAAAAACTGTGAGCTAGCTCACACTAACTCAGCTTAGAGGGAACAGTGCCTACTACCTGATCCTTTTAACTGGAAATGGCCTTCTGCATGCCAAGGAGAGACTCTTCCTCTGAGCCAAACAAGAATCATGACTTCGCGATAATGCTTCCGGGCCAATGTGTCCTCACAGTCACATTGAGAAGGTTAGCGATAGCCAGAAGGCGGGAAGGTTTTTTTTTAAAAAAACCTTCACCTTCCCTCAGGCTGTAATCAAATATAATTCAGATGCCATGCGGCGAGATCAGAAGAAATAACTGCCAAGAGAGAACAAGCAGGATTATCCTGACAAACTCTTATCGTGAAAGCTCACCCCTGCACATACGTACACACACACACATTTCAAAGTAGAAAGAGTTACCTCCGCTTCTGATGCACTATTTGGCAGCTTGATGTGATTGGCGTTGATCCCGATCTGGGAAAGCAAAACGTGAAAGCTCACCCCTGCACATACGTACACACACACACATTTCAAAGTAGAAAGAGTTACCTCCGCTTCTGATGCACTATTTGGCAGCTTGATGTGATTGGCGTTGATCCCGATCTGGGAAAGCAAAACGGCCCAGGAGTTATTAGGTGTTATGAGTCGCATCATGATTATAATGAAAAGGGGGAGGGGAATCATAGGCCCGTTCCCCACCGCCGCCAGATCGGGCCCCGGGGGAACCCCACCCCGGCATGCGCGTCACCAGGAAGTGACGTTATGACGCCGGGCACGCTGGGGGCGGGGCCACGACCATCCGAGGGGGAAACTCTATGTTTCCCCCTTG